GCGGGGCACCCTGGGAGATGGAGTCCTCGGGTCCGGAGCCGCGCTCGGGAGAGCGCGCCGCCGCCCTACCACTCCCAGGAGGCATCGCGGCGCAAGGTGCCGCGGGTGGCTTCGGGGCGGGGGCGAGGAGCGCGCCTTTGCGCGCGAGGGCCTAGGGGACCTGTAGTCAGGGTCCCAGTGCCCGCGCACAGAGCGGGTCGTTTTCTAGAGTCGGGTGGGGGAGGGGCGCAGGCGGGCAGTTTAGAACCTCGAGGCAGGTGGTGGGCACGGTCGTCGGCGGCGGAGGGTTTACACCAGGATCGAACTTTGGGGGCGCTCCTGGGTGTGGCCCCTTAACATAGCCCAGACAACAGGTTTTGGACCTGGAGAGCTGCCCAATTCGGGGCTCTTGGTCCCGCCACCTGCCGGCGCTGCCTCTGCCTCAGTTTCTTCCCTGATGGCCCGCGTGCCGTTGGGGTGAGTCAGGGCGAACGCCAGGGCGGAGGCGGAGGATGGTTAGCCTAATTATGGCTGTTATTGTTGCTTTTATTATGCCACCTTTGCACAGTAGTCACTGCTTTATTACCAGGCTGGCACCGTCTGGGGGCTAGTTTTAGCAGCCCCAGGCACCACGGTGACCCCGACACGAGGCCCGAACCCATAAACCAGCCTGCTGCCTGCCGGCTGCAAGGATGCCCACAGCGAGTATTCCCTCCCTTTTGTTTTGAAGCAGAGCCAATCGGAGAAAACCGAGTTTGGTTTTGAAACTGCCAGCTCTGTGGAAGGGGCCGGGCCCTGATTGGGGCGGGGCTGGAGCTCTAGTTACAGGAGCACAGCGAGGCCTGGGGAAGTACCCGGAATAGAAACTTGGCCAAGGGCCCCAGGGGATTATTTACTTTGCCTGTTGCCAGCAGTCAGCGAAGAGTAAACACATTCTGCGAAATAAATGAATGCACAGGACACCGGAAAGGCAGGGTGAGGAAGCGGTTAGCGTTGCTAGGCTGGGAGTTGGGACGCCAGGGTTCAGTTCACAGCCCCACGGCTGTCTCCTGACCTATCGCACTCAGTGTGTCCACTACCCCTCTCTTCTTAAACGATGGGTG